GGAGGCGCCCTCTCCCGCCGCGCCCGCACCGAAGCCCTCCGGGAAGCCCTGGCGCCCCCGAGGGCGCCTTTCGGCGGAGGGCGCGGGCGGGCCCGCGTTGTGTGCAGCTTCCCGGTCCCGCTGCGCGCCCGGCCTCAGGGGAAGGGTCTTTGTGGGGGGGGGTACGCGCCACCCCCGGCCTTTGGGCTTCAGAAGTCCTTACTACGTTCAAAGCTGTCGCGTAAACTTTTGACACCCCGCCTTTGCGTTCCTTACCTTTCTGGCTCCTCCCAATTCCCGGCCCCGTACGGCAAGCCGGCTCGCAGCGCGTGGTTAGGGAAGAAGCTGAGGAACCCGCGTTTGCGTTCCCGCCGCGTACAGTGGACACACGGTATTCTCGTGCCGACGTGCTTTCGCAGGGTGTTGTGAGTGACAGGGGGTGACAGCGCTGTGAAGGGGAAAGCGAGCGCGAGCGTGCGGAGGGAGAACGGGCTTCTGGGCAGCGGTGCGGGCGGTGCTGCGAGGGGCGCGGGTGAGACCCGGCGGAGCTGCAGCCCGAGCAGCCCAGCCCGCACGGCTTCTTGGCTGTGTAACCTTTGTGCGAGGCGCTTCGCCTCTTTGTTCTTTGTCCCACGTTCAAAGTGGGGAGCGATGGTATCCGTCTCTTCAGGCTGTTGGTGAGTTTTCCGTTAGCTAGAAGACATGGGTGCTTAGAATAGTTTCCTGCATGTAGCAGCCTTATTATTGTTACCTGTGCCTGCCTTCTTTCCCCTATTCCTTATCCTTGCTCGGAATTCCTTAGCCTGTCGCCAGTGAGCCTTCAGGCCTGTGTTTCATCCGCGCCCTTAACTTGATCTGAAGGTGCAGCGCAGTTACATGTGCCCAGCGGCTTTATTAAATAAGGCTGAGAAGTACCCTTGTGCTCAGTCAGTCACTGTGAGCTGTGCTCGAAGTGAAACCCGGAGGGCTCTCTGGCTGTCTGTTTTTTTCACTGGGTGACACTTCATTTCCAGCCTCACTTGGCTTGGGCAGTTTATTTTGGACACAGGACCAAAAGGCTATGATTGCAGCATAGCTCATTTCTCGTGTTTCCCGGAAGGGCTGTGGGACTCAGAGGGGGAATTTCTGAGCAGCCTGGCGGCACTTCTTATTAAGGAAAAGGGAAGCTTGCTAGGAACCTAATGTTACCTACTGTGAGGAAATCAGCGTGGTCCCTAGCCTTACTCTCTGCAGAGCTTCTAAGCGACTTTGGTTGTTCTGTGACTGAGGGAAGCGAAGGTTAAAGAACGGGATCCATAAAGTAGGAGCTCTGTGGTCTGACAGCCCGCCCTAAGAGGTTGGGTGTCTGCTGCTGAATCGCAGGTCCTCATTCCTGTCTGCTCACCTCGCATGGGTACAGTTGACTATGGACAGATGGTTCCCCTTCTAGGGGCTTCGGGATCCCTCTCAATCTGTCTTGGTGCCCCCTGTGTGACTCGATGGAGGGCTGTGGTGTCTTCTCGTTCTTCTCCGAAGAAGGCGCTATGGTGTTACTAGGAGCTAATCACAAAATAAGAGTAAGTTTCCGGGAAAGAGCGCCGCTTGCTGCGGTAGCGGGCCGCCAGGTGTGGCTGAAGTACAGATGGTGTGGTTATTTAGCTTTGGACTGACGCAGCGTAAGAGTTCTTTGGTCTTGAAAATTGGGTGTTGGCCTGCTGAGAGTGGGGGAGAGTGTTTTTGAAAGCTGTCTAGCGCATGCTTGAATGAGGAGGCAGGGAGTGATGCTGCCTTGAGTGTTTGAGGTAGAAGGAAGGCTGCAGCCCTAATAGTGTCATTATTATCTCTGTGATTTGAATCATATAATTTGAAAAACTAGTCCAGGACATTTGAATGGGCAGAATATAAGGAGTTACAAGACCTAGACCAGTGACGGTGAACCTTTCAGGGCTTTCAGTGGTACAAACAGCCTGCTGCCGCACACACGTTCGACCCCACTGACCTGGACTCTCGTCTTATTCACTGGGTGCCATTTTAAAATTGTTTCATTTTTGTTTTCTTACTTTTTGGTACTGGAGATTAAACTTACAGCCCTCACACTGAGCTACATCCCAGCCCTTTAAAGTTTTGTTTGTTTGTTTTGAGACAGGCTCTGGCAAAGTTTGAATTTGGGATGCTCATGGCTCAGACTCCCAGAGTGCTGGGATTACAGGCGTTCCTCTCCATCTCCACTTTCGGGTTTTGTTTGTTTGTTTTAAGGTTAGGTCTTGCTGTATTGCCCACGTTACATAAAGGGATCCTCCAGGTAGCCTGGATAGAGTAAAACAACATACATGTACTATATATGTATATATTCTTGGTATATATTTTTTTATTTTTTTTTGTTGTTGTTGTTTTTTTTTGGTTTTTCTCCGGTACCGGGAACCGAACTCATGACCTTGCGCTTGCCAGGCAGGCGCTTTGCCGCTGAGCTAAATCCCCAGCCCCATCTTTTTAAAAAAGAAAAAATATATTGTAGTGAAGTCAGGCTGGAATATAAAACAGTTGGCCAGAAATGACAAAAATATATTTATTATGTAACTCCTCTTCTCTTTAAGGTCAGAGGCATTTAATTTTCTAGTATTAGGACCAAAGCTTCCAGACATAGATTTGGAAATTAGGGTTCTCAGTCTTGTTCTTGTGCTCACTGCTGACAGGTCGGTCGTGTTGTGTGAGGTTCTTGTTTGTTCATTTTGGTCTCATCTCTAGTAATTTGATACTTAATGAAAGGAGATGGCTAGAAGTTAATTATTAAATACCGGGTTCCAAAGAGCAGAAGGAGGTATATGCGAGGCTAGAAAATCTTGTTATATGTGTTATCTGTTTTACCATACAATTTTTCTGTAAGAGACATAGAGCAAAATATATACTTAAAATTTTAGGAACCAATAGCTGTCATTAGACAAATGGGTTGAATGTAATCCAGTGGTAATAATCACTCTTCATATTTACCAGACGAAAGACACTTAGGGGGAGAAAAAGAAACAAGTTATATTATGTACAGGTACAAATTCTCCATGATGAATGTGATCATTATGTATATCTAAAGTGTACCAGTAAAATCTGGAGAAAATTTTTTATTACTGCATATTTTATAGAACATGACGATTACATTCACTGCGAGGGCTTGGTACATGTACATAACACATATAATTCTTGTCCCCTTTCCTCTCTCTCCTTCCCCTTTCCATCTAGTAGACTCCTTCCCATTTGCAAAAAAAATTTTTTTCTGAAACAAAAAAATTGGTAGAGACATTTTTGGGTGCTACTGCAGATCCAGCCAGGCCCTAGGATACCCTAAGCAAGTGTTCCACCACTGAGCCACATCTGCAGCCTGGTATAGACATTTTTAATAGATTTTCTTTCCTAGTAGACAGGGGTGTTTGAAGTTGTTTATAGAGCTTGGGGTTGTATTCAAGGACAGAGGAG